CATTTTGGAAGCAGGTCTTTTAAAAACTTCTCCAAGGATTCTATAGATAAGTTGAGGCTGGGTGACAAGGAATGGCTGGGAGGGGAGGGGCCAGGTGAGGCACCCCTTGATGTGAGTGACATTGAGTTGGCCACACCCATCCAGTCACATGACCACCAAGCCATGCCCACCCAGTCACATGACCACCAAGCCACACCCATCCAGTCACATGACCACAAGCCACACCCACAGAACCGGTAGTAAAAAAAAATTAATTCCACCACTGCATGCAGGCATCTTCCTTAGCGTTTCTCTTGCTTCCAGATTTCCTGGATAAATTGTATCCTCTCTGAGCCAACACTTTAAAGGCCACTCTGTTTGGTTACTTTGAATAGAATCAGAGTAGAGCTGGAAGGGACCCTAGAGATCTTCTAGTCTGGCCTCCTGCTCAAGTAGGAGATTCTATACTTGACTTACCCTTTCTTAGAACAATAACAAGAGGAAGCATATAAGCTTAATGTATGTATCAGCTGGTGTTTTTAAATTATTGCTGATTAGAAAAACAAACATTGGGCTTAAAATTTGACTCTTGTAGTTTCCATTTCTTCTTCCACATTTGATTTCTATTATATACAAAATATAAAGTCCGTTTTTAATAATTTAACTCATCTTTCATTCAAGGTTATTCTAAAACATATTATAATTGCTACATTGTATTGCAAAACACAATTCTATGAGTGTACTGTTTTAAACAAAATCATAAACAACATACAGCTTTAACCATGGTTTATCAAGCTAACTATGCTTGGATGGCAGCAGTGCTAATATTCAAGGAAGCCTATTATATACCATGGGCCCAGCTGTTCTTTTCATATATAGATAACTGTGTATATATCTTCAGCTCTTTGTCCCAGTCATGGGTTACAGCAATTTGTGGTCATAATCCCAGTCTGGATCTACTCCCTCAGTTGGGAAACTAACCGGTGTAAACTTCAGTGTACACCTATATTAGATCTTATACCAGGCATAGCAACATATCCTGATACCCTCTGTGTGCAGTCCATAAATTAATGTGGTGGGAACACAGGGAGCTATTACCACAGTCAATTACACATTACTCTCTCAAGGATGCCACCAGTCGTGAACTGAGCCATGCTGTGCTAAGCAACGGCATCACTAGCCAATGAAGCCTAGCCATGAATGCCTTATCCAGATGGTAGGTCAGCAATTCAAAAGCTGTTGTCTTTGGCTTCAGAAGGTGGGCTGTCATTATATCTTCCTCTCTACTCTTCCCAAACAGTAATGGTGGCCATTCCACTTGGATGGGAATGAAATCAGAGCTTTACCTATCTTTCCTGCTTAAGGTATTTATTTAAAAAGCAAGTGGCTACATGTGCGGAACATCTTATACCTAGTCAGTTTAAACAATGCAGGATTGATTTTGTAGGGGAGTTAGAGAGTTGTGGGAAAAGAGCCCATTTGGTCAGTTAATGGTGCTGTGTATTGGCTGATCCCAATGACTATCAATCTCTGAAAGAAAGGAAAGTAAAAATTGTACTGAGGTGCAAGCTGCTAACAGTCTGTGCCAGAACTACTTGCCTTGAAGATAGGGCGACGTTCTCTCTGAAGAACGTTCTCTCTGCTACCATAGAGAAACATGAGTTAGAAGAGTGGGGTTGGTCTAGAACAGGATTCGCCAACCTTTTGGACCTCAAGGACCACCAAACTCTTAATTTTAAATCCCACAGACCACTAATATGAATTTTGACTGATGGTGGCTTGCTGATGTTGTTGGAAAAGTCAGTTCCATATTCCAGAGCTGCAGTAGTCACAGGACTGGCCCTTGGGTCATCCTGCTCCTCCATCCGGGTGCACCGGCCTGCCATGGACAGGAGGAGCTGCTCCAGGATGACCAACGGGCCAGTCTTGTGACTACTGCAGCTCTGGAATATGGGACTGACTTTCCCACCAATGTCAGCAAGCCATCCTGGGGCAGATTTCCCTCCCCAGCTATTAGTCTTACCTTCCAGTTCCAGCTCACACGGCCCTACTCAAGGTAAGGTTTGCACTCAACCGAAGGGTGGGGCCAGTGGGTGGACAGACCATGTGGGCGGTGTAGCCTTGTATTCCTGCGCAGCCTGGATTAATTGCTTTGGGGGGTGCTTTGGGGGTGACGTTTCTCTGTGGACCACCAAAATTTTCTCACAGATCATCAGTGGTCCCTGGTTGGCGACCACTGGTCTAGAAAATCTCTAGAACCTACTTTGGGGCATCCATCAGCATCCTGAACTAGGGTGGTTTCAAGAGATAACAACCATAAACAAGCACATCCTGAACTAGAGACTTGAATGTATCTTGAATATACAACTACTCCCCATAACTAATGTTGTATCTGGTTGTATTTTTGGATGGTTGAGAAACTAGCACCAAAAGGGACTATGCCTCATCATGACATGGCTCAGATGTCAATACCCAGATACCCTCCAGGTGAGACTGTTTCTTCAAGGAGAGCTGGAAAAATATTTGGAGCTGCCTATCCTTAGAGCTGGGTTGTGTCAGGGGTGATGTGTTAGCGCTAATAGAAGCAGTGGCAAACCATTGGTAGCTCAACCCTATTGATCTGGCTGGCCCACCACAGCAGCATCAGAGAGGCCATCACCCTCTTGTCTCCTCACTCTCCATGAAGCTTGGATGAAATAGATGTGGGCTGAACCACTACTAAAGGAAGAAATGGAAGGGCTGGCTGGCAGGGGCAGTTTTAAAACAGGAGAGGGCTAAGCTTTGAGAAGCTTTAGCAGTTTTGTTTGGAAAGTGCTAACAGCGATTAAACTCTAGAGATTCTACCTGGCAAATATAACAACTGAACATGGCAAGAATGTCAAGCATTAAAAAAAAAATCCACAATAGGGTAGAGAAACACCCTCTGTGAATCGAAGGTGTAAATGTAGGCAGAAACAAAGCATATGTTAATGAATGAGGATCATGTGAGCCATACAGAATAGCTTAATTAATGGAGACTTTGGGGTATGAAATGATAATGAAACTGTAACAAGTGAAAACTGAAATTTTGAGAGGCCCCTTTGGACTAGGAGACCCCAATGTGGCCCTAAACTGTAATTCGCTTAACTCGTGCCTAAATCTGGTATAGTCAGCAGATTGCCACGGGAACAGTAAGGAAGTGGTAACTGCCAGTGCCCATATGGTACTTTCTGTAAGGTTCAGCCCCAGCCTTGGAACTCTGGCAAACGGCCATCTTAGGCTTACCAGACTGAGGTAAATTCTTGGCCCAGCATTTTCCACCTCCTCTCACTGCTCTTCTTCTTCTTCCTACTCCTCGCAGTTCAGAAGTGTTTAGGGCCCATGAAGCTGGTATGACACAAGACAAAAAATGTACGCCAGGCTGTAGCAACCTTACAACAGCACAGCAATTCTATGGAGTATCATGCAACTGCAGCAAAATCCTCCTTCAGGGACCACACCATGTCAGGTAGATGAGAACTACTCCAAAGAGAGGAAAGGGAGAGAAGGAAGAGGTTGGAAGGAAGAACAAAGTTAAAACATCCAGAAGCCTATGGAAAGTGCCACCTGTGAGTATGGAATAAAGAACTATTTGGACAATTTCATGGCTGGGGCTGAAGAAAAGGCTGCTCCTGTCATTATTGTCTGAAGTGGCAATGGGGGCGAGGGGAAGGAGACTTCAGTGGCCCCACCCTCAACTGTTGCAGACATACATAGCAAAGAACCTCTGCCTTGGGGAAGAGGAACGAGCACAAACCACACACCATCCATGAAATTCAAGCAGCAGGTAACGTGCCTTGGCTCTCATATAAGAGATGCCTAGTAGGAAAGGCATCTGCAACTGATGAGACTGCCCCAAGATATTCCTGGCTCCTTGCCATATCTGGGCTCCCTGCCAAAACGCCTTGCCAGCGTTGTTGTCATTCCAGAGCAAGCGAATGGGAACCCGGATTATAATTCCTTGATCTGGCTTCCTTTTTACACTGTGGGAGATGCATAGGTTAGGTTGCATTCAGTTGTACGTTTCAGGAAGGCTCAGCAACCTTAATTCCACACATGTAAAATGGAACATTGCAGAACACAGGCACCGATAATGGAACTAATACACAGGCCTGGCAGGGGAATGAACACAAAAATACTTCCTTTTTTTTTTCTTGCAGTAAAACAGCAGGCGAAGACAGCTCCCATTAAAATCTGTTCTTCTGTGGCTTTATAGCAGCTATTGCTAGGCTTTTAACACTCTATTGAATAGTTGGGAGTCGAGGGTTTACAAGAGCAAGGAAGGCAGCGGTTGGATTTTGTCCCACTTTGAATCAACCAAGCTCTCTTTGATTGTTCATAATCGACTACTAAACCACACAAGGAAAAGCTTTAAAGCACCTTACGGGATCTAAGGAGATGCTCAGTCATCCAGGTCATCGAGAGCTGAAGAAGCTTCTTGGATGAGAAGCGAAACGCCTTCAAAGAAAAACCAGAAAGTCCAGTGGCTTCTTGCGAGGAGATGGGGGAGGGGAAGCCCTTTTGGGACACCTTACAGAATCGATCGTGGTATTGTGGGCGGCTGACAATAAATAGCAACAGATACTATACTAGCAGCGAGGGATTTAAAAACAAGGGAAGATTATGCAAGGAAAGCCAGACGTGGTAAATTACCTGTGGAACTTACCACGCAATTTTGGTTGGCTCCTTTGATCTCTGTTGCAGATCCCCCGGGTCGAGATTCTCCGGGAACCGCCGACCTACACAAATATACAAACACACCGGCCAAACGGCAGCCTGACGGCTAGAGAAAGCCGGATCGGCGAGCAGGTGGGCCTCCAATGAAGCTCTCCCTTCCCAAGTTGGCCAATAGCTTGGCGATGCCGCGGAACTCTGGACCAGCTCCTTCTCTTTATTGGACGAGAGGCTTGTCAATCCGCCCCCATACATGCCCGACTCGCCTGTTTGCGGCTTCTAAGGGGCGGCTTCAGGAGCGGCGGCTGCTGTGAGCTGTGCTAGGCGGAGCGGCGGCGAAGAAAGTTTTTTGCAACACTCTTGGGCACCTGACTCCGCATCTCTCTCCCGTGCGCTCTCTGGAGTGAGGCGTACCAAGGGAAGCAGCCGAGCCTGGGAGCGGACAAAGCTTTGGAGGCAAAAGTTTCTGCTTTCTTTCCTTTGGTTTTTCTTGGATTGGGTTTACAGCCGGGGAGATCCCAGCAACCGAATCAAGCTCTCGCCTTCAACCTTTGCTTTTGGGCGGGGGAGAACATGTTCCTTGTCTGTGAAACAAGTCGCGATTTAGATGGAAATTTGCTGACTTGAGACTCGACCGGCTTCCCTTTTTGCAGAAAGTGAGAGAAGGGTGTTAATTACCCACCTGGTTGTTGACTTTTTTTGTGTGCGTGTGTGTGTGTGTGCTGATTTTCTCCCACCCACTTCTTCTACCCGGAGCCCCAGGTTTTGTTGGAGCTATATATGGAGGGATCTCAGAATGGTTTGCAACAGGAAAACCAAAACTTTAGTGTCCACATGCGTGATTCTCAGCGGGATGACTAACATCATCTGCCTGCTGTACGTGGGCTGGGTCACCAACTATATCGCCACGGTTTCTGTGAAAGTTCAGGAGCCGATCTCGGAGAAAAAGTTAGAGGAAGACAAAGGAGACACTCTAAGGATTATAGAAAGGCTGGACCACTTGGAAAGTGTCATCAAGCAGCACATCCAAGGTACTCTCTCTCTTCCGCAGTCCGTTTCTCGTCTTCGACAGATCGTCTTCCCGATTTTCCAGGTCTCTCTTACTCCCCACCTCCCCCCTTTAAAAAAACAAAAAAACCACCAAAATGTTGCACAGGTTCCGTTTATCTGGAACGCGAGTGTTTTGAGGTCACATTCCTGCTGCCGTAAGGCGGAGTGGTAGACTCTGGTCCGAGAGGAGGATGCGCTGGCGGGGAGGTGGGGAGTGGGGGGGGGGGGGGGGGGGTGGTTAAGAGGGAAAGGGATTCGTTGGGGGGAAGAATCGGGAGCTTTGTTTAGGGCCCGGCTCTCCTTGATCGGGCGAAGATTCCTGCTTCCTGGCTGCCTTCCCGCTCAGCTAAGTCGCTGGGGGCCGCCGGCTAGGCGAGCTGCCCGGCTGCCCTGCTGGAGCGAGAAGCCGAGTCGGTGGAGGGCAGCGCCCACCGCTTGCTAGTTTCCTTCCTCCGTGTGGTTCGGTAATTTGGCCGCCGAAAGGCGCTTGTCGAAGGGAATGCCGGTTGCCTTGAAGCCTTGGGGGACCAAGCGAGCGACCGGCAATTCCTGTGGAGGAGGCAGTTTGATGGTGTGTGTGTGTGTGTGTGTGTCTGTCTGTCTGTCTCTCCCTCCATTTCCCGCCTTTCCGAGAGAACCGGCGATTGCGAAGAAGCGGCTGGTTGCCTGCCAGCCAGAAGCTCTGCTGGTGGCTGTGGATAATCTGGCGCTTGACAGCTGGCAGTTTCGCCCGAGGGAGGGAAGAGGATGGGGAGCCTCTTGCTTGGCCAGAAGTCCGATCCCGGCGGAGGATCGAACCCGATTCTCGGCGTCCGAGGAGCGGCATCTCCTGGGCGGGTGGGTTGCGCTCTCGCTGCGTGCACTGGTGTAGCAAGCCGGCTTTCGAGCCTGTTGAAGTTGCTCCGTCGAAGACACCTCGGGAGGTCTTCTCTGGGAAGATCTTGGCACGAATCGCTGGCGTCGGATTAAGCATCTGGTCTTAGTTTTCGTTCCCCCCTCACTTCGGGTTGTGCTGTGGCTATTTTTTTAATGTGTCGTGTTCACGCCCCTGCTCCCCCTCCCCCTCTGCTCCTAAAGCCTGTCCTAGTTGTGTTAATTGCCTTTGTATGTGTGTGTGTGTATTGTTTCTTCGCTGCTCCGATTGGGAGGAGGATGGTTTGGAAAGACAATCTGGGATTATTCTCAATCTGGCTAATGGCATTTTCATTCGGTGGCTGTTTGACTGCTCCTCCTTCAGAAAGGGATGCTGGGGAAGAATAGGAAACACCATTCTCTTGCCACATGTGGTTCTGGACCGGTCTCCCTTTTGCTTCTTAATATGTTATTAGTTACAGAAGGCATGATATATTGTCTTTGTTTACGCTCTGATGGAGATGGGAGAGAGGACCACATGTCTTCCAAATGCTTTAAGGGCTCAGGGCCAAATGGGTGTTAAATTATTTTTGTCTTCCTTCTTTCCCTTTTTTTTTTCTTCTTTATGAATTTCCTGGAGGGGAAGCCCTTGGCACATATTCAGATTCCACACTGCTTTTGTTTCTCAATATTTTGCACAGTTTTAATCAGATGAAGAGAACTGTTATTAGATTTGTGCAGTCTGTCCATAGGACGATCACAATGGACAGCTCTATTCTTATTTTTGGAATTGTGACATCTAATGGGGAAAAAAAGGGTCTATGAAAAAGAAGGAATGTTTGATAACTTTGGTTACTGGTCTCTTGGGCTGAAGTCCTGCAGTATTCAACTCCTTTATCCAGCCTGCCAGAACTTAGCTAGTTTGCTACAGCTGACAAACAGATTCCTTTTCTCCTAAATCAGTTTTGCCAGACTGACAGAATGCTCCAGTTAGAAGCATGAGCTTCAATGGAAACATACTAAAGGCATACACAGCACACATTCATTAGCAGATTTCTATGTATAAAGGAGGTTTTCCAAAGTCCTTCTGGTTCCTTGATGTAATATGAATGTAAATACAATGTAGGTTTCTTCCCCTTCTATTTACTGTCTATACCTGTGCAAAGGTACCATATTTCTTTTTCAGAAAGTGAAGTACTATTAATTCTAAACTTTTTGGGGGGAATCCTGGAATATGGCCTTGTTATAGAACTTATGCTACTCAAATGTTAAGCCCGCTGTAAGTATGATTTTTGTATTCTGGTTATGGCTGTTTAGAAGTAGAATTCATTCCTTGGTTTTCCCAGAAGAAGCCAAGTTCATGGAAGTTTTGGTGACAGCACAAAGTTTTCTTTCACCATTGACCTGGCCTTTATTCAGAAGCACAAGTTGAAGTCATGTTTTTTGATACCTTGTTTGTGCAAAGATTGGGCAGACTCTGTGATAGAAAAAATGCTTTGCTCACGCTCTCAGATGTTAAAGAATCTATTGACAACAAAATTGAGAGTTCCAGCCATAACCTTAAAAGTGCCCTGATTTTTATTTATATATTAAATAAACAAATATATAGAGTGCATAAGGGCACCTTATAAGGTACGTGCTATTAAAAATGTAGGAAAATATAAAATGTGTCTTTATTGAGATTAGCCCTAAATAAATATGCAATGGATAAATTGCAGATCTCAAAGCAATAGCCATGTTGCTCTTGGCTTAAAATTCTGAATGCTTAACTAATGACTTGACATGCTTTGGTTGGAATTCAGACATGACATCTGATAACTGCTTAAATTACTTTTGCCTAAATTTCTTTTAAAATGTGTCTTCTTAAGAGGGAATTGTTAAAATTAATTAGCTGAATATAATATTTTTAAATTAAATCAAGAGAGATAACATTATAGTGTGACTAAGTGGATGATCTTCAAATACTGCAAGTTTTTACTGTGAATTTGTTAAATACAGTAATTGTAACTGTAGATGACCACTTGCTAAAAAAAAAGTCAAACCCACTACAGTGGGTTTGGTTGTGTCACACCATTGAAATTGAAAGCAAAAGTGACTAGGTTCACACAAAATTCAAAATCATGTTTGGCTGGTTTCAGTTTAAGGAGCTGTGCAAATCCATCTAGAGCAGTGATGGTGAAACTTTTGGGCACCAAGTGCCCAAAGCATGCATGCCCAAATGCAAGGCACACCCCCCCCGTGCGCGCCCCCCCCCCCCCCCCCACATGCAACCCCTTGCATGCACCCCCTCTTACGCAGGCACCTTGCCCCCTGCATGCGTGGCAGAGACCTGAAGACCAACTGGCCAGTGGGCATGTGCTAAGCTGGGGTGATGATGCACATGTCCATCAAGAGGGCTCTGCGGGCCACCTGTAGCATGCGGGCCATAGGTCCACCACCACTGGTCTAGAGAACTAGATACTTCAGTCTTGCTATTTGTAGGGTGAGGGTTATAAGATCTGGGCTTTGAATTCCATGGTTAAAGCTCAGAGATAGCAACCTATTTATAGCTCTCTAGAGTAGCTTCTAAAATGGTGCCTTTCCAATATGGCCATTGGGAATTCACCTGAAAGAGCAGTGATTTAGGGGGAACTGATCTAGGGAATTCATAGGTGATCTGCTTTGGTTTTGTTTTGTTTTTGTTTTGGTATGTATGTACCTAACTTAAAAGGTTATTGACAAGGTTTTTCAGTAGGCATTTATGCAAGTTGAGTTGGATTTCATTTACGTCAGAGTGGAGATAAGAGATTTGGAGAAAGTACTTTGATATTTAAGGATGAGTCAATGACCTTTCAATATTTTGTTTTAAATTATCCATAGGTTGGAATAAGGAATTATCAAAATACTTGCATCTGTTTCCTTGTGGAACAAAAATCTATGAACGTAGCAGGAATTTTATTTATTTATTTGTATTCACCATTTTTATTTTTCATAAACAACTCAATGTGGCAAACACACACAATACTCATTCCCCCTCCTATTTTCCCCACACAACAACAACCCTGTGATGTGTCTGGGCTGAGAGAGAATGAGTGGCTAAAAGTCACCCAGCCAGCTTTACTGCCCAAGGCAGGACTAGAATGCGTTATCCTGATTTCTAGCCTCTTAACCACGTTACAAAATTAGGTATGAATGAATGAATGTATGTTAGATTCATCATGGTACATTATCCTTGCCAAGGATTTCATTGGAATGCTTTAAAAAAATACCTCTATTAAGGCAGATTATCAGGGTTAATCAAAGGTCTGTATAGCAGCTTCCAAATTATCTACCAAAGCTGTGCTTCCTGAATCAGTGTAGAGTATTGTATAATAATTTTAGAACGGTTTAAAAAAAAAAGCTGTTTTCCATTTGTTTCCTATATTTCCAAGTCATTGAAGAATGACTTGCCCTTGCGGTTGATCCAGCTTTGATTCTTCTATGCAATACGAAGGAAGGTTGATACAGCATTGCAGTTAGCATTTTGAATTTTTGAACCACACTACATATTCCCTTGCCTGGAATCAGGTCAGAACTTGCTCTCTGCTTTGCTTGGATGGAGATATCAGGCCTGTGTACATTACAGAATAAAATCCCAAACCCTTATTTACCTCTTCTTTCCAACTCTGCTGCCACCATCACTGCTGTTCCTTGTTCAGTCAGCAAAATAATGAGAAGAACAGAAGGTGGAAAAAGCAGCTGAGGAGAAAAAATAAACCAAAATAATTGTGATATCACCCCACACACTCAAATTTGCTTGTTACTTCTTGGCGTTATGACTTGAGTTTGAGAAACTCTACATTGAGTAGATACTATGGATGGATTCACTTTATCCTGTAAAGCCATGATGCACTGAGTAGCCTTTTGGATTAGCATGCTTGTTTAATTATGTAATTAGTTTGTAGGCCCCTCAGTTTCCAAAGTGGTTTTAGGCAAAGTATTACATATTAATACTTAAAAAGACCCCCCCCCCAAATAGAAAACTGATTAAAAAACAGCATATTAACTTTTCGGAGAAAAACAGGAATACTATGGAATTAGATTATCCAGTAAGAATATTAGTATGATGAATTTCATCAACCCTACTAATAAGATTTCTGAAACATAATTT